TTAGTGTGTAGAATACGTCAGTTAGTGTAGTTGTGTAAAGAACAAGCATCTAGAGCCGGTAGCACCCCCACTACTGAAAGTGTTTTTTCAACCTCGCCCCAAATTTGCCTTTTATTGGCACAAATTACTTCCCCAGGGACGCCTAAAGGATTTTTTTTAGGAGGCGGGGCCCTCGTCTCTTGTTCTAATTCAACACCATTAAACCCCATAGTTTTTTTTTTTTTTTTTGCAGAATACCAGTTGTATTAGAAAACCGCAGGTCATCTCAGGGGGGTGCGCACCCCCTGCACCCTCCCCCTAGATCCGCTACTGTTCCCTCACCCACCCCGTATACGGTGAACCCTGTCAATACGGCCACCAAAGGACCAAAAACATTTGGCAGTATTAACGGGTGACCATATTAACGAGGGTTTTTTTGCAAGTTATTATGTATGGCAGTTTTGTCCGGCGGCCAAAAAAAGTGGCCGTAATAACGAGGTGACCGTTTTACCGAGGTGGCCGTAAGGTGAGGTTTGACTGTACCGAAGAACTGAGAATGTTAAAGAAGTCAAGAGGCTGATTTCCTGTTGGAAATACAGTGGAACCCCGTTAATACGGTCACCAATGGGTCAAAAACCGTATTATAAGGGTTTTTTTTTGCAAGAAATTGTACTCAATTCAAAGTAGACAGACTGGCCGGCGGCCAAAAAAAGTGAACGCAATAACGAGGTGACTGTATTACCGAGGTGGCCGTAAGGCGGGGTTTCACTGTATAGTTTTAGCGGGGTAATACTTTCACAATAATTTCGTTTTTAATTTCGAGCTAAACATTAAATCTATCGTTACTTTACAGGAATACCTGCTGTTATAGTGGCTGGCTCCACTATTTTATTTCACGAAGGATATGGCACAAGAGAGTTGTAAGCAGTTTTTTGTACTTTGGTACTGGTATTAGTCTTTTTGACTCATCCGCATTAGGGGTGTGAGAGTTTTCTTAACTAGCAATAAAGTACTTACATGATGACGGTCTGGCGACTTTGCCTAGAACCAGGCCACGGTGAACATTCCGAGGTTGCCAGCTATATTGTCTCTATTTATTTTTCACCTTGATTTGTTAGCATTTTTTACATCAGTGGTATAGTATGATCGTCTTTTATTATTTATAGTTGAAGCTATAGCTGCTGACACGTCGGAAAACTTATGGTAGAATGCTTATTTTTTTGCAGTTGTTGGTTGTCGATTGAGGGGTATTTTATCTGGGCGTTTGTAGGACCCGTTCTTTTTGTTTGCCTGGTGAGTCTGCCTTTGTTCCCAAGGTTGGCTCACAAATTACTGGAACTTTGCGCAATAAAACTTTGGTGCTTTCCTCTCTTACCAACTGGTCTCACCGGACTTTCAGTTGATCCTATTAGCTAGGTTCAACGAGGGTATAGCGACTATACAGTCTCCAAGGGATGGTCTGTTTTCGTCATAAAGGCTTGATCATATTGGCGATTTTGTAGAATAGGAAGTTATTGGACTTAGTTTTTGTCAGAAAACAGTGGCCTAAATAATGTAGTGGTGGTATGGTGGAATACCATTGTGCAAGAGTTAGGACAAGAGAGGATTCCTTGAAAAGAACTATAATCATTTTTGTACTTTTTAAAGAACGTTAAATAACGATGAACACTCTTATCAGGTAAGTTATATTTTAAATTATGTTGTCTAACTTTTAGTAGAAAATTGAGATATTTACTTGCAACTAAGACTGCGAATCAATTCTGTTTGCAGTTTAATTTCATTTGTTTGGTAAAGACCTTTATGGTCATGTCAAGTCGAGGGAGAGTAAAGAAAACTGACGAGTGTTAATTTCATGAAAACTATGTTTACTAAAAAAACCGGTTTGTTGACAAGTGGGATTGGAAACGTTTTTTTAAAACATATAATTTCGTATGAAACAGAAATGTTGCGATTTAAGGCTAAAATGATGCGATTTAGAACAAATGTGATTTAAAGCAAAAAATAGTGCGATTGGTGAATAAATCACACCGCTGAGAGCCATTATCAGATTGTTGTGATAACAAGTGATTTCACAATTGATGAAATAAAGTAATTTCAAGTACCGTTTATATAGGGACACAGAACATGGACTGAAAAGACAAAAAGATTGACTAAAACGTCTCATCAAGAGCTATAATGAGACCTCAATAGAGAGGTTAAGCATCACGTTTACGTCAAACGGCCACCGCGAATTTGTATCACGTGACCAAGTTTCCTCTTAAGTTGTCGTTTACTGTTCATTAGTAATACACATATATTAGTAGTTTCACGCAATTTTTTTACCCATAAGAATTGTTTTGAGCTTTTTTTATCTGCTCATTTTCTGCTTTGAGAAATTCTCAACTTGAATCTGACGTTTGCCGTTTGCCGTATACGTGAAGCTTTAAAAACGCTCTAATGTCTCCCTTCTGCAGTGCTGTATGCGTCGGCCATGTTGTTTTTATCATTGCTCAGTCAGAAACACAAGAAATTGTTGGCTTGCAGAGGCGTTGACGATATCTGTAATAAATCCGAATCAAGTGCTTAGGGACTTTTGGCATTAATGATTAAAGGTGGGGTAATCTGGGGAAAACGTTTTTAAGGAGAAAAGATGATTAGGCAATTTGATGATGAATCTAATATGATGATTTGTTTTGGATGTGTAATAGATACTGGTCAAAAGGCTCTGCCTTACTTTCTTGTCTTCTTGACTTAACATGGATTGTTGGTGTTTTTGTGGTAAATGAAGACACCATGTTCATGGCGTATCTCTTTAATATATTCAACACTCTTCAGATGAGAAATTTATAAATTTGTGGAACGTTTTCTTTTTCTAGGGTAAAATGGAAACTACCCATCGTGATATAATACTGGAAATGCAAAAATTAAAAAAATATATGAGGGTGTGCTCTGCAGAGGAGTTCGTTAATTTGAAGTTGGCTGGAAAAAAAGCGAGTAAGCTCCAAGCATATTATGAACAACTCTAAACTAACTAAATGTACCCTACTTATTGAATGTATGAAAATTAACATTGAGATTTTAAAACTTGTTTCACAGGGATTATTGATATTTTTATTCCATTGCATTGGGGATGAAAAGGTAAGAAACAATAGGTGAATATTTCGATGCTTTGTTGTTTTGTTGATCCGTGCCCTGATGCATGTACAAGCAACAAAGCAGGTTGTTTTCAGTTTTTTAATCTATTCGATAAACGTGAATATTTTTTCTTGTGCTTTAACAGAGTTTACTTCTACCAATAAAGCCAATAGCCCACGTTCGATATATTAAAATTTTAACATGACTCCGAGGCTTAGGGGAAAAATATGCAAATTTTTCACAATTTCATTGTCTCACAATTCCCAGAAGAGACTTGAGCACAAAGAAAACCAAACCAAATGTAGAAAGATGATCAGAAAGCCTCAGAGTCATGTTCACATTTTAATGCATCGAACGTTTGTAGCGGAACGCTCTCGCGTGTGCGCAGCGGAGCACTGTGGGTAAGAAAAAATGGTAACCTATGGATCCGAGAACTTTTGGTTATCACGTGACCGTCGTCTGCCGTCCGTCCTTGCGTCCGTCCGTACGTACTTATGTACATACGTCCGTCCACCACCCACAAATAAGCCGATGTCAAATGTCACGTTCACACTCGCACGGCGAACCGAACTTTTAGAGAGAGAAAAAAGCAACAAAGCCGATTTTTTTTGTCCACTAAATTTTGATGTCTACACTGAGACGTATAACAGAGAAAGAGCTACAGCGAGACATAAAAAGCAGAAGAAAGGAATTTTGATGGAAGAACCACATGACATTTTTGTAGCTGCGGTAAGAAATTGAGAAATGCGAGCGGCAGTGAAAAAGAAAAAAAAAAGGTCAGAGACACAAGCAACAAACTGTTTTGTGATCAATTACGGCATTTCCTTCATAACACGTGTAATTAGGAAGTTTTACGTTTTAGGCCCTGTCCACACTAATTCGTTTTCGTTGTCATCGAAAACGCATCCATCAATTCGCGTCCCCACTACCGTTTTGATTCGTTTGCGACCGTCCACACAAAAACGTTCGAAAACGGTAGAATCGCACGTTGTGACGTATTTTGGGTCGGAAACGCATTTTGATGCGTTTTCGACCCATTTTGTCCGCACTTATACGATATGTATACGTTTTCGTACGAGCATTAGTGTGGACCGGGCCTTAAGCCTGTTTTCATCGAACACGTGTGGACGGAAACTCTATTCGTCGAGAAAAATTTGCGTTTTCATATGAAAACGCATTTTTTCTCGACGAAAAGAGTTTCCGTCCACACGTGTTCGATAAAAACGATCAATGAAAACGGAAATTTTCGAAAACGCTCTCCAGAGTGGAACTTTTTGAAAACGGAACTTTTCGAAAACGCTGACGACACACTATCAGTTCCAATTCACTCCGCCCATTATTAGGAACTTATTAAAGATGGTGGACGGGCGCTCCCCTTTCTTGTCGTTTATACTTGGGCTTATTTCTAACCTTATTGCTTAGTTTTCAAGCAAATTTAGTTTTTTTAATTCCTCAAGCTGATTATTCCAGGAGGCGGCAGAACATTATCACGTTACTTTCGCTACCGGTGTCAAGAGGCAGAAGGTTGGATCTCCCTTTAGTTTGACATTGTTTTCGCCCTGATTTTGACATTTTAAACTGTTTCTGCAACTATGAAGAACGTCACAACAAAAAAAACCCACACCAAAGAATCTCAAAGATGGCGCCAACTTATTATTTCGCCGGCTCATAATAGCGAACACGTATGCGTCAAGTATGCGTAGTCGGGTAAGTTATCGTTTTCAAATCGATTCATCGTATACGTGTGGACGGGCGAAAACGATGCGAAAACGCTACGATTGGACGCGAATTTTTTTGAAAACAGGGGGAAAAAGTTTCGTTTTCAAACGAATACGGATACGTGTGGACAGAGCCTTAGTCGGTGCAATACAGCGACAAAGAAATGTACAAAAGAAGTGTGCTACACGTGCAAAGTTCGTTTTTTTTGCTATTTAGACTTATTAATTTTTTTGTCGTTCTTGTTGCCGTCGCGGTTCAGCATTACACGATTTTATTTTTTGTTTACGTAGAAAGCTTCGCGTTTAGCCCCGGTATATATTACGAAAACCTCTTCTTCTTTATAGGTGCGTGCAGAGTACTTACGGTCTCTCCGCTGTCAAACGCGAGCGATGGCTTACGGTGTGGCTCGGCCATGGTGGAGCAAGTCTGATTCAATAAGCCGCTCAAAGGCGTCGGATAAAATGCGAAGAAGAACTTTACAATCAAATGTGGAGTTACCAAAGGTATTTTACTAGTTTTGCCTCAAAACTTCGTAGTAAGTAGCTTCGACGCGGACTGACTGCGATTGGAACCCCATGCATCCGCTGCATGGAAACTGGTGAAGTGGTGAATAAAATATGTAATTTCTATAGTTTTATAATTGGTAAAAGGCCTCCTCCTTTTAACAAAATGAGGCTAATTTTGACAGGAATAGGAATAATGCGGCTGCGTTTCGATATAGAGAGAGCAGACTGGTTGAACTGGTTTAACTACTGGGTCTATGACAGATTTTATTCCAGTTCTTCGCATTATTTGCTCTAGGCAAGGTGAATTTTGGGTAAGACTAATCTGTGGAATTGCAGACCGCGGAACCGGCGGAACCTACATAACCTGAAGAAATGACTGTTTTATTACAATTGCCTTAGGTAAAGTGATGAACTAATTAGTTACAATTGATTATAACATTGATAGACTGTTCACAGTCCCCTTTTTTCCGTAAGATCGTTGAGATAGAGCGCTCACTTTAATTTCAGTGGCAGCCATTTTGTAAATGGATTCAATTGTACCGAGAGAGCGGGCCTCGGGGTTCCCAAACCGTCTTTCGCTCTTTAAGTGTAGTTCAAGCTAGAACCGGCCAAGACGGCAGCCTGTAGGGTTCGTTCTCGACGATCTTGCGGAAAAGTAGAGGACTTTGAACAGTGTATAACACAATAAACATTAATCGAGAGCTTTGGTTCCGAACGGGAAGTCCACTTAGCGAATTTCCGGCTTGTTCGTACGTAGCAAGGTAACGAGAAGTATAGATTTAAACAAAGTAGCACAAAGTTGGGAGAATGATGGAATTTAAATGTGGTTGTGAAAAATAAATGATATTGAGCGAAGAGTTGGGTGGTATCCGACAACTAGAGGGATACTACTGGGTGAGTCGTCGTATTCTCAGGGTAAGGCTGAATGGAACAGCTCGTTTAGTGTGTAAGGGGTGACATGGTAAGCGTAAAAGGTATTGATGTTCGGCTGTAGGTTTAGTATAAAGAACAATTTCAGCGATTGATACCATCATTGAGGGACACCTTGACGTAGAGAAAGGAGAAAGATTTGAATGAACAGTTTGAAGATATAAATTTAATAGTGGACTGAAGTGTATTTAGGTAAGAGATGGAATAATATATACGTTTATAGTGAGAATGAATTTGAGGAGGTCGCAAAGATTCTTTGTGTGTGGTGGATGTAGAGCGGTTACTAGAAGTGACTGCATGCGCCAATAATACCTTCATCGTTCTCTCGTCCTACTGTGTTTAAATCTATCCCTCTCATTTCCTTCCGAAGACTACTAACAAGCCGGAGGTCCGCGATTCGAGGACTTTCTGTTTCGGTACCAGAGCTCTCGATCAGTGATACTAAACCGAAATCGACAACAGTTTTCAATGGTCTCTGCTGTTATCGAGAAATGAGGTGAGAGAGAGGTGAGAAATCGCTCAGTCATTGTAAAAATTAATTGCCGCTAATTATTTTATTCCTTTAGCCAAAGGCAGTTGTAATAAAACAGTCATGTGTCTTTAGGTTCCGTAGGTTCCGCCGCCTGTAGTTCGGCAGATTAGTCTTACCTGTGAATTTTCCCTCCCTATCGTTTTCAAAAGCCTCTTTTGGGGTGTAACACATTTAGCAAGCAATATAGGTACACGTCGACCTTTCAGAACTGGATCATGACAGCTGTCTTACACCACCAGGAGTGATGTAATTTGAAGCTGTATTTTCTTTTAAGGTCACCATAGACAACTCCGTGAAAAGGAGGACTACTGTCATGACAGGACCAGAATATACTGCTTTACGGCAATCTGTAAAGATGAGTCAGATGTACGGGTTAACTGGTAAGACTAAACATGTTATGCTTGTTATTTCTTTTACTTTCGTTGTCGGTTTGACCTGATAAGATCAACAACCAACTGCAGTTCGGATTCTTCAATGTTATTTAGAAAAAACATTCAAGTCGGAAGGAAGTGAAAAGAGTCAGTGCTTACTTGTATTTAGGAGTAATTTGTTTAAAATCAATTTTTCTTTTTCAGAAGATGACTGTGAGCAAAACAGCGAAGGAAGGCAGATCGCTGAAAATTTAACAGACACGCATGCGTAGAACAGTGCTGACTGTACTGAAGTTCAGAGTTTGAAGGTGAGATACGACGCTGCATACCGTATTTGTTCGATTAAACATCGCGGCGTTTATCAAATTGTTAGCGTTTCTGCTGTGTCGTTTATTCGAGAGAGTCGTTTCTTTCAAAATTACAATTCTTAAATCACTTGTAACAATTATGATAAATCTTTCTAAACATTACGTAAAACAAAAAAGATGTTATAGTTCCATAATAGTGTTAATGATATATGAAATAAATCATATATGAACTGCGAAAATGAAATGAAATGAAGAAATGATCGTCGCAGTGAACGCAATTTATGCAATTGCGTAAAGAGGCCTGAAAAAAATTTTGGACTTCAACGGAACCCGTGACCTCGCGAATTTTTTTCAGGCTTCTTTACGCAATTGCATAAATTGCGTTCACTGCGACGATCATTTCTTCATTTTCATTTCCATCATAGTTAGTAGAGGAGACACGTTATGAAAGCCGGTAAATATCAAACTTGAAAACAACGGTGCTGTAGTTTATGCTGAAACTCCCTGGCCGAGCACAATCCTTTGATTTTTGTTCACAAATTGTGACTGAATAAATTAATGCGAAGTTAATTGGTCACTATGTTCAAAATGTAGGAATGCTATTGAACGTTGTGCACGGTCAAGAGGTCCAAAAAAGCTAACAAAAACATATAAAAAAGGAGTCTAACGGGTTACATAACCATTCCACTTGAATGCTATGGTTCCATGCCTCGCCTTTTTGCAACCCTGGTAATAGACCTTTTTACCGATACGGCGGCCATATTGAATTAATTCGATTTAAGGAGTATTATAGGATGCCCAGGGGGCATGAGCGCATTTCGCCTGTATTGTCGAGCGCTTTTCAGGAAATTTTTCTTAAAGTTTTCTTAGAATAAGAATGTAATGGGAAAAAAGATCCTTGTGCCGTGTTTGGATGTAATAATGATCGCCTTTTTCTAGTTTAGTATTAGAAATATGGTCTTTCATTGTATATTTCTCGGGAAAAGGGCGATCATTATATACATCAAAACTCGGCACAAGGATCTTTTTTCCCATTTTACAATCTTATTCTAAGAAAACTTTAAAAAAAATGTCTCGAGAAGCGCTCGAAAATACAAACGAAATGTGCTCATGCCACCTGGGCATCCTATAATACTCCTTAAATCGAATTAATTCAATATGGACGCCGTATCGGTAAAAAGGTCTTCATTGAGTCCATTGTCGGTCCAGAACAAGAATCTTGACGTTGCGTTGTAGAAGTTACTAGCCGGGGTTAGATCACCTCTGTGTCGCAGGCTTTAATAACTGCACCACTAAATAACGTCTTGCTTACAGAATTCTGAGGAAATCGTCACCGACGCAGCACATGATCATGTAACAGATTTATCGTGTTCCTGTGAAAGCACCTGTGAACAGACATCACAACCAAATCTCCCGGATGTAATAAGGCATGACACTGACAAAAATGAAGATGACGAAGAGACGCTTGCAGCGACTGCAGAGAACTCGTCAACAGAATCAAGTTTGTAGAGAAATCCGTGAGGGCACTGCGAGCGTAGAGTCACATGCGGCATTAAGCTCACTGAATTTAAAATCGATTTGGTGCATCGCCATAAAAAGGAAATACTTTTTTGAGGTGTAATGAATTACAGTATGTAGTAACTAAAAGCAATAAATTCTGGTTTATTCGGGAATACAGGGAAAAGCCTTAATATACAAAAATTCTGTTGCATGATTCAGGTTTTGTTTGATATCCCATAATAAGGGCAATAGTTTAAAAAAATCAGGTGAATTATGAAATTTGTTTTATTAATATTTAATTGAAGATACATATTCAGGTCATTCTTGTGTGCATGGATGCAGAAGTTCAGTTTTTTGAGTATGTGGTTTAAATTATAAAAAGCAGCGAGCGGTTCAAAGATATAAATTAGGAAAAGGTGTAAAAGAAAAAAAAGCTTTTAAAAGTAATTAAGATAAAACGCAAAAGTTTGAGTTTTGTGCCAAGCCATTTTTGTTGTTGTTTCTTTGTGGAATTTATCTTACGATTTTGTTAGTCTGATGTGTTCAGCTCCTGCCAGTAATGAAACGGTATAGTTTTGGCTTGTTGATCTCATGACTATACGTTCACACCTCAAAAAATGACGCTTTTATTTTGTCAGTGAAAAATTGTAAGGACGCAGGCTGTGCACTATATTGTACCTCGTTTATAGGAACTTGGTGGATTGAGATCGATATTGCTGAGGTGTGTATCTCTAATACCGGATAAACTGCTGATCTAATTTGAGTTTTTATGCAAACTAGCCCTTGCTCTGGGCTGTCTGCCCTTCAAACAACTGGTCTTATGGGGCCTGTTTTTCGAAACTCCCAGTAACTTCCCGGACAGGAAATCAAATATTCAAATCAAAATCAAGTTTAAAAGCTCCGTTTCTAGCCAACAAATCAGTCCATTTTGTTTTGTCAACTGGTAGTTTTATGATATTATCTTCAAAACTATTAAAACCTCTATCTTGAATGTAAACAGCATCAGCTTTCTTTAGAATATTGAGACTTTCGTGATTGTTGATTCTTTTCAAGAGTAATTTCAACCTTTTATGGATACTTAATCCGCGCTATGAACGTATTCTTATGACGGTTTAATCAATAGACACTAGTTCTTGTATTCTCCATTTTGGCTCCAAAATAGTAACCGATTCTTCTTCCTCGTTATCTGGCTCCAGGACAACTTCAGCAAGTTCATAGGTACCACGCATTTCACAGCCGTGGTCAAAAATGTACTTGCCCTTACCTTTAGGCTGATTTTGTTGAAAGCAACCGACGAAACGATGATTAGCATGAATCAACTCTCCCGCGTCCTCCATCTTTCCGTGTACCCACATCCCGCTGTATTTTGAGCCGGTAACTGCATAACTGTATACACCATGGCCATGCCGCTGGTTTTCAGCCCATTCCCCTTCGTAAATGTCTCCATTAGGGTACGTGTATTTTCCATGGCCTTGGCGCACATCATTAACCCAGTACCCTTCATATTTGGAGCCATCAGGGTAGACGAAGGTACCTTCTCCATGCTTAATCCCATTCATGTAACTTCCTGTATATTTTCCTCCGCCTTGAAACCTAAAAAATGCATTTTAAAGACTGAGGGATAGCCTTTTTGCTGACTTTCGCAAGCTCTCGCTGTTGGTAACTATATCGCAGCTTATGGAACATCATAGCCCTGTGGTATAAATTTATCTGTATAGCCAGTTTGTCTTCCAAAATGTGAACTTATATCTCTCGGCTCCGAAATCGTCAATTCTCAGGACACGACAGTGGAATCCGTTACTGAAATTTATATGTGACGGTTTTAGTTTGCGACTGAGCCCGTCCGTGGACTGAACTGGAAATAAGACAGATCTTTGAAAGGTCATTCGCCGTTTAAATTTATCTGTACAGCCAGTTCATCTTCCAAAATGTGAACTGATATCTCTCGTCTCCGAAATCGTCAATTCTCAGGTTAGACGAGGAACTATTTAACTTCTTAAAAGAATAAAACTGGAATTGCGGTTGTCTTAGCAGTTTATGAACTTTTTGTCTAATGATGAGTGACAAGAATGTTTGTCCTTTTGTTCTTGTTCTTTTAGTTACAAACAACTTTTTAATTGTTTGTCGCTGACTGTCTATGACTTGCAAAGCTTTTGCTTCTATTGTTCGAGGAGGAAGAAATACAATGGAACCTGGTTGATATGGGCACCTAGAGGACATACCAAAGTGTACATATTAACCGGGTGTCCATATTAAGCGGGCTGTCACAAAAAAACGTCACGGATACATGTTTCATCGTAATCAGTAAAGAAGAAGGAGACAACTTCACTACATTTTAACTGTGACTACAACACGATTATCCTAAAGAAACCTCACGATCATTTATCAGTCTCGGACCTAAATGACATTTTAAGTGTTGTTCGTGAAACACGACAATGGAATCCGTTACTGTACGTTATAATGACAGTTTTAGTCTGCGACTGAGCCAGGTGGACTGGACTGGATATGAGACAGATCCTTTAAAAGGTCATTCGCCGTTTCTGTTAGATTTTCACTGGTAAAATGTTCATTCATAGGCGGTGCGCAGAAAAACAGCCCCGTAAAGCGGGGTTGACGATGTGTTCGCGGGAGTTCGTGACTCGGGACACAGGAAAATGTCCGTTGTCCATATTAACGGCGGTGTCCGTATTAAGCGGGTTAATTTTAGAGAAACTCTTTATATACACTGTTCGTTATATGCGGGTGTCCGTAGAGCGGGGTTCTACTGTAGAACGAAAACATTGTCTATCAACCGTGGTGGTGTTTTCTACATTTTATAGCCAAACTTACTTGTAAGTGCCTTGTCCATGCCGCTTGCCGTGTAAATATTCACCTTCATATTCGTCACCGTTTGGTAGCTTTGCTTTTCCTTTTCCATGACGCTCTTCACTTTCATTTCTTTCTCCTTCATATTCACCAAGATAAGGCGCACCTTCTTCATCCAAACTCTCTTCATCTGAAGACATTTCAGTGAACCCTCTAGATCGTACGAACAGGCTGCCGAGGAAACGAAGAAACGAACTCTATTTATGTGCTGTTTCTAGGGTAATGTCCTTTTTTATTTTTTTAGCCTTATATATAAACATGCGGAATATGCTGATTGGTTGGGGGAAGCAAATATGGAAGTTGGATGTTTAATTAAAAGATGTAGAGATTTGCATAATGGTCCAAAATAGATCAAGGGTCGTGTTAGGACGCAACCTTCTTTTGCAACTGTTGAAAAGTCATTCTTTAGCCAGTTTTGTTTTAAGCCTCTTTATCTGGCAAGTTTTGTTGAAAAGCCCACAATAGTTACGTTACGGAAAGGAATTCGCGCATGTATTTGTCATGGCCTTGGAGCTCATGGAGTCAATACTAACGCAGCTTTCGGATGTGTGTACTCAAGAGTATATCTTGGCACCACCGACCGATTCGCGGTCGACAAGCCGATTGACATATCGCACCGAGGGGCGGATGCGATCAAAAAATTCAGAAAGGGGTACCCGTACACTTGCCAGTTTTTATAATTTATTTTTCAGAGAATCTTTGAAAATAATAATAATAATAATAAATTTTCACAGAAAAAGGGGCTGCCGCGGTCCCTCGTACCCCTTTAATCTGCCCATTGTTGTTATCAAAAAGTCTTGCAAGTTCACCATCGAACAACGAGTCTTGTATGTACATCCGTGTGTAGTTTCTCCATGATCCTGATGACTGTTACTGGACACCCAGATATGCCCGAGATTTTCAAGAGAATTTTAAGGTTCACCTTGTCAAACGATTTTTTTTAACAAGTCCACAAAAGCGATGCACAAAAGACTATGGCGTCCGATCTTTCGGTCTTGATCCTCTGCCGACATCATTTCTCAGGGGCTGCTTTTCGGTCGCTCCTATCTGCTATCACCAGGACTGTTAATTTGTCAGTAACAACTGGTGTTATGCCCGAAACACTAAAGACTGCTCCGCTTTCACCTACTTTAAAGAAACCAGCCGCTGATCTCGGCAGTTTACAAAGTTGTAGCTCTAAGCTGGTTGAAAAGTCTGCTGCTGTTCAATTGAAGAAACATGTTATGACCAACCATAGGTGTTTCAATCTGCATACAAAGTATTTCATTCATGCAACTGAAACAGCAATACTTTAATAGAAGAGGAAATGATTCCTTGTTTTCTCTCGACTCTTATCGCTTCGGAGTGAAGGAGACTGCATTGGCCTGGTTTAAGTCTTACTTCTACATATTTATTCTATGTAAATCCATCTTCAGTTGGCATTTTTAGATTTTAGACTTTTAACTTTTATTTCTTGTACCTGTATTAATATTTTTTAGCTCTTTAAATTTATATTCTAAGGTAAAAACTAAAAGCTAAAACTACCAATAATGGATTTAAAGCGCTATGGAAGATTATAGCTAATAGCACTATATAAATTAATATTATTATATTATGATACAAATCCTTTCACTGTTCCATATTGCTTTGGATTAATATGGAAATTGAGAGGTTTGTTACAAATATTTAAAGGTTTAAAAATCTAAAATAACTGATAATGATGGTATAGGTGACTAGTTTATAGCTTAAATCAGGTTATATCATATATTTATAGGAGTCAGCGTGGCCGAGTGTTCAGCGAATCGAACTCGCAATCCGGCGCTGTCCCAGGTTCGAGTCTCGCTCTGGCCACTGTTGTGAAATAGCCAAGTGGCTGCCTCCTGCCAGTGAAGAATTCTAACCCTGTTATGTTAAATTTGAATGATTTGTTTCTAATTATTTGAGTGTTGCCTGTAAACTAGCTGGATAAGAAAATCGCACTTTCCACTATAAACAAACCTTTAACCATTTTTAACCTTTGATCACTGCATGCCTCATCACGTCTGTTTACTCCGTGAGGGTCCTTGTTGTCCTCCTTGTTTATCAAGTGAGCTTCCCAAGCCTTTTCGTGAGTCACGCCGTTTGCTGGAGACAAACGTCACTGAATGAACGTCCAGATGGGTAGAAATGTAATGAGACAGTAGTGGGTTCGCTGAGTTGATGCTGGTTTAATGTATCTTCCCTGTTTCACTCTTTTTAGTCAGTATTCAGTTCAACACAATCCTATATTTTACGCTATATAAGGCATACACTTTATATAATGAGCAAATTTATGCAAATCCATTTTTTCGTCCGTCGAGAACCTCTGCAATTTGAACACAAGGTTGAATCCTTAGGTGTTCTTTGATTTCGCGGGCAGTCTGTACATCGCAAATCGACAAAAGAGGTTATTGCGGGCGACAAGAGGAGCCCGCAATCGTAATCTCCAGATTGTTATTACGCATGCGTCGCATATATGTTACCAGCATTCGTTTGGACTTCCACTAAGAATGAATAGAATGCACGGAAAGCAATTTGATCACGCGCGTTTGGACCTTCTATCACTCGCAATCTGATCGTGTTTTGACTATCTCTCACGTGAAGTTTACGCAAAGCACACTAGCACAGCGATGGAGCAAAAGCGTTTTGACCTTCAATCGTTGTTGCCCGCACTCCGTAACCTTTGCTTATTTCTAGTTGTTATAATTAATCGTGCATGTCAAGTAATATAACGTCTCAATACCATCACGCGCGGCGTGTTTTGTATTTCGTGGTGCGACTTTCGCTTAGAAAACTGCATAGCCAAAATCCTCTTCTTTCTTAAACATTTCGTAGAGTAAAGTCTTAACTAAAGTTTCTTTTCTACATATTTCGCTGATCAAGGCCTGATTAGGAAAGCGTAATTCCCTAAGTCGAATCACCATAATCTTTGATTACTACTATTTTAAGAAATTGTCAGAAAAAAAGAAAACGATCAAATTTGCCGCCCTCCATTCGTCTTAGCTAGTCTTCTCTCGGAAGCCTTTCGGGAAGAAAGGAGATGTGATTTAGATTAAGTAACTATGACGTAAATCAAGTAGCCGGTGACTTAAGATAAAAGTAAACAAGTGTGAAGTTCTAGAAACATTTCTTCAAATTTAAAACTGAAACAGCTTTTAAAAGGTACGAAATCCCAGGAAGATGTCTTTCCAATAGATACAACAACACTGGCGACCCTAAGAAGGGGATAAGGATGCATAAAATCTCTATTTACGAAACATAAACATGATGAACAAACTACAAGAATTCACAACGCAAGAAAAAAACCAAAGGGGGGTACGAGTCCCTGAAGACTAACTTAGGGCCTAGTTCCCACACTTCCGAACAATCTAACAGAAAATAAATTTTCAGTTCCGAACACGTGGGTTACATGGTGCTGACTGTGCTGCGTATGGCAGGCAATCTCCCCTGACAATTGTTACAACGGTTACAGTGACACAAGCTTAATGTCGCTAATGGCTCGACTTGACGGTAACCGGCGTAAACTGCTATCTAAATTCTTGACAATTAAATAAAAAACTAAGGTTTAGAATTAGAGGTATCTCGCTTTGGTGGGGTAACCTACCAGTCCATATAATCTTCCATTTTAATTTGATTATATATTGCCATATAAACGTTTCAAGTTGGGGTAAACCGCCTTAAAGCTGTGGTCGGATTCGTGTTACATCATATTTGAATCGTCGACTGAACAACTTGAACAACTATTAGCCTTTATCATTAAAGTGACAAGCCACAGCATTGAAAAGTTGCAGCAAGTAACAGTACAAGAGCATTAACGTCCAAAAAAGTCGTTTCCCGTTTTACGATCTTGAGAGGTCTTCATAGTGCACCCCGATTCAGTATGGATATGACTCCAGATGTAGTTAATCGATAAACCGACAATCGATAATAATCAATAGAAGACGATATCAATCATGCATTGAGGAATATCGATTTCCGATAGAAATCAATAATGATTGATTTATCGATTGCAATAGATTACTACTGATTATTATCGAGGGGACTTATAAGTCATTCGTTAAAGGTTCAACTTAAACTAGATGTTGTCCGTACGCGGTATTATCACCATAATTCAGTGGTGATATTATGCAGTTCTTTTAATTGATAAAAAAAAAAAACTATAAGAGCAAAACACTAACAGGAACAAATTGCTCTTTGCTTCTTTTTTTTTTTCTTTTAGCTTAAGCGCAGTTTGTAATAAGGAACGAAATATTACTGCGAAAGTGGCAGAACATAACTCTACCAGGTACGACCCCCTATACCAAGCACGACCCCTTATGCCAAAAGATGGCAGCGATCTGGAGGACTCTAAAATAATAATGGCCGTGTATATATACCGAGTTGAATTGGATTCCAGTGTCCTCAAGATTGCAAGGAAAGAAATGCAAGATACAGTCGATGGCACAGGGTTGAATTTATTAAAACAGACCAAGAAACAAAAATTCAACGTGAAGAAGACTGCAGCTGGAGTATAGTTATGAAGTCAAATATAATATTAAGTTAAGCTTAAGCCGGTCGACAATACCAACTTTATTTACTTTACAATACATTTTAAAAAAAAAACAACTTTATTTACTCGATGTTACATAACAAAAAAATCGGCAGTTTTCGAGTGTGAACGCATATCTATTGAATAATATATTGAGTGAACTGCAGTCTCGAGACCGATAGTCCTGAACTGTTCATTGTGACCCACTGTCCGTTGACTTTCCACACTTAAATTCCAACATAAATGAATCATCTTTCTGGTTATGTTCATGTCTGGTGCTTGTTACGTACTGATCATGACGACAAACGTGACAAACGTACTTTATGTTTGGTTTTTGAATTGCCGACAGAGCAATTATTTTTAATCTGCTCCTATCCTAAGTTATCTCAGCGAGACGGATATCATTGTGTACAACGGCATTTCCTGATAGTCACGTACACTGTATGTAAGCGTATTTAAGCCGTCCTCGTCGATTAACGTTTCGCTGACTCTCAACTGTTCAAACCTATGTAACAGAAAAAAATAGTGAAGCAACAATCTTGTATTCAAGTAGTTTAAGGCCTGGGACTTGTGGAAAATGAATTATTGGCTACAACGTTGGCATAGGTGATGGCGCTGAATCAAAATTTGGCACACATAAAGAACTCATCGTCCTTAACATTTTAAAGAATAAACATTGTGTTAATAAGTCAGGTGATATGTCACGTGACCATTTTGCTAAAAATCGTAAATTATTGACCAATTGGTACCCGGTTAAAGAAAAGAAATCGGGAAAAAACATTTTACTAATTCATATTAACACTTCACGTTTGTAATGTCCGTCCATTGCGCTTCAATAAAAAAATTATGAGGGAAACCATCATTTTGAATGCCCAAATTTAATCTTGAATTATTTAAAACTTTAATTTTAAACTTCGCGTACATTCATTCCAAACGTATAAAGTTAGGTATGTTTATCCTCTTCTAGAAATACCGATTTGTTTATCGAAACAAAGTAAATTGGTCGCCACCAATTCGCCAATTTCCTTCATTTTCAATCTTTGGTCACGTGATGTATCACGTGACAGTAATTAAACGTTAAGGCACAAGGAAACCTCAAGATTTACTTTTTGGGAAAAGTTCATTTTGTTCTAGGTCTCCTAGCGAAAGATATTGCCAATTATTCATATCCTCAGAACACATCTTTGAGCCTTAAACCACTTGAGTATAACTACAACAACAACTGCAGCTACTACTACCATTACTGCAGCTACTGCTACTACTACTACTACTACTACTACTACTACTACTACTACTACTACTACTACTACTACTACTACTACTACTACTACTATTCAGTACTACAACTTGGATGGGTGAGAATCACTTTCTGCACTGGGATCAGAAGGTGCTATATCGTAATTGCACGTAAGATGAGGTGTTTCGTAGAATTTCTAATACTTAATATCTTATTTTGTTTTTAAATTATTCTTTGGACGCGAACCGTTAACATCAGTCAAATTCATAAGAAATCCAGCTGTTTATCTCTTACACATCATGCAATGCCAACATCCAAACTTCAAAACTGCAATGTGATAAAATTTTAAGAACAACGGGAAAACCTGAACCATATTGCTGTAAGTAGACCTTTGAACTTAAAGGTATTTCAGGATATACAGTATAATTGCTTAATTTACGGAAGCAGATAGAATATTCACTGATATTGAGTTGTGCAAAACGGCAATGTATTCTATTCTTTTACTACTGACAAGAACGTTTTAAGTTATTTATATTCCTGCCTTTTCGTTCTTCTGCTCTTTTTTAAAACGATACTGTCTTATGTTGACTTATACTAATCAGAAAAAAAGAAATCATTAAAAAAGGTTAGTTGGAACGGGTTAGATATTATTAAACCGTTGAAAATGATTCCAGGAGCGTGAAGAGAAAACTGTATTTGCGGGTCAGTAAATGGGCTCACTAAATTTTTAATCTTGTAATAATAATAATAAATAATAATAATAATAATAATAATAATCTAAATAATAATAATAATAATAATAAAAACAGGAAACTATTTTAACCTTTGAGGGTTTTTATCGTCTTCTGTGTGCAAATGACTTAACATGGCGTATCTACCAATCATCTGAGCAGGCCGTGTGAGGCTAAGTTGCTTCTCCGTAATTCTAGTTACAAAACAAATAAAGTTCAAAAGACGTATGTAAGCCTTTATGTTTCGACGAGAGCAATGGCAAAGATAATAATTGGAGGGCAATTTTACATATATAACAAGGATTGCCAAGAGAGGATAAATAAATAATAGAGACCTTTCCACGTTAAGGTGTGTTCCTTAATTTTGTGTTTAAAACTGACGTGTGAACAAATTAACTACTCCTCTTACAAACCTGACGAACAAATCATCATCTTCACCTCCCCAGCCCCAGAATCGGTTGGGAAAGCCGTTAACTGTACGAAAATGCTCGCTCCAGAAACCCTCTACTCCACCAAACAAAGTCTTGTAAATCAATCTTTTTAGGAAAAAAAAAAGAATAAAAATAGTGAATAAATTTTATGAAAGCCATGATAACTGCATGTATATTGCATATTAGTATATACACACTCAGTGATCATGGTGATTTAAGTAATCTGATTGGTTCGCTATCGTTCAACAATATTNAATAATAATAATAATAATAATAAAAACAGGAAACTATTTTAACCTTTGAGGGTTTTTATCGTCTTCTGTGTGCAAATGACTTAACATGGCGTATCTACCAATCATCTGAGCAGGCCGTGTGAGGCTAAGTTGCTTCTCCGTAATTCTAGTTACAAAACAAATAAAGTTCAAAAGACGTATGTAAGCCTTTATGTTTCGACGAGAGCAATGGCAAAGATAATAATTGGAGGGCAATTTTATATATATAACAAGGATTGCCAAGAGAGGATAAATAAATAATAGACACCTTTCCACGTTAAGGTGTGTTCCTTAATTTTGTGTTTAAAACTGACGTGTGAACAAATTAACTACTCCTCTTACAAACCTGACGAACAAATCATCATCTTCACCTCCCCAGCCCCAGAATCGGTTGGGAAAGCCGTTAACTGTACGAAAATGCTCGCTCCAGAAACCCTCTACTCCACCAAACAAAGTCTTGTAAATCAATCTTTTTAGGAAAAAAAAAAGAATAAAAATAGTGAATGAATTTTATGAAAGCCATGATAACTGCATGTATATTGCATATTAGTATATACACACTCAGTGATCATGGTGATTTAAGTAATCTGATTGGTTCGCTATCGTTCAACAATATTCACCTCCTAGCGAGTGGATAATGTGTAAACTCGGTGTTTTTCCAATTTTCTTAGAGAACGATCTTTTAAAAGTAGACAAAATCCTAGGGCTAACTTTTTTTAAGGCAAGAAAAGACTTTGAAGGATTCAAAACAGCGTTTTTCCATTTACTGTAGCTGAGTTTTTGTTCTCGATGGATTGTTTACAACTCCCGTTTATTCGCGTAGAAGTTTCGTGAACTCGGCGTTTCCTAACAAGAAAAATTGGCGCAAGAAAATTCTACGTTTCAAGTAAACAAGAAAAAGAGTGGTACAGGAAGAGGATGTCTTACCTCGAGCAACCGAACCACCATTTTTGTCACCACTTCATGCGAAGAACGACAGAACAAATCCTTTTGGCTATAAACTTGGCGAGTCAACAGAAAACAACAAAGCTCTACTTTTCTTCTCAGGTAAGGAAACAATTCAAACTTTTAACGGTTCCATTTAAGCGATTACGCAGTTGTTACGAAGTGCTAAACTTGTGAATTGCCATGTTTGAAAATTCTGCAAAGATGTATTTTTAAACTTTCGCGTGATTTGATCCGTCAATCAAATAGTACTTTCTAATGGTTTCCTTTCTGATTTTGTTGAGATCACTTCGTGTGTATATACTAAAACAATTATTTTTTTCAATCTCGGTGAATAGTGGCTTTAGGAATATTTACCTCGCCGCTTCGCGCCTCGGTCCTGAAATTTTTAGCCACTATTCACCTCGATTTCAAAGAATAATTGTTAAATGACCCGGAAACTTTATAACTAAACTTGTTCACAAAACGCTTGAGGTAAACTATGCATTTAAAATTCATTTCAAATCTGGTCTGTGATTTTCAGGTCAATGCCCTGAATCCTCGAGGCTAAAAAAAATTAGAAAAAACGTAGGATGAGCATTTCAAATTGAAAAAGTACAAAAATTCCTTCCTCCTAGGGGTGGGGAGGTCACTCCGTTCGACCTTAATTCGGGGTGGCTCCACCCGAAAATGTACCTTTTTCAGGTCAGTATATATAAGAGCAGGGATTTTACTAGTTTAAGTGCATGAAAGGATAGGAAAAACTGTCATTTCGGGCTACAAACAATGAGGACCCAAAAGGTGCATTTTATGAAATGTTCTGTTTTGTGATTTATTCATTTTATTCACAGGGAAGCAATTTTATACTGGGTATGTCCCATTTGTCAATAGAGGATATGCAAAATGGGTATCTTCTCTGTCAAAAATGACAAATTCAAACTTTCAGCTCTAGTCGTTCTTATTTGTGAAATAAAGTGAAATAAAACATCGCTGTGCCTAAATTGTGAAGGGAAAAGGCACATTTCCTTTCAGGTCGGGCCGCAATTGCCACCATTATTGAGAGAAATAGAGGATATTACATGGCCGCGCGGAGATACGAAATTTCTCTTCGGGTGTTGAAAAATTTTTCACGAGTGAGCGCAGCGACAACAGTTTTCATCTCGTTTTTTCTCCCATAGTCACAAAATAATTTCGTTTTGTGACGTCATCGCTTCTCTTCTCTATTGCAAAATGACCTTTATTAAATTTGGTTTGTGCATGCCTGTCGTGGAATCTTTTAACCGGCGTAGTATATATAATCTATAACTCACTTGTATTCCATACTGCTCACTGCGGTGGACATGTGTCGTGGAGATGACGGGCAGCCGTAATCATTCCTGGCATCTTCGGGTAACAAATCTACGTCATGAAAGATCACACAACTAAAGTGTCCCGCCTTCATTGCTTCACTGAAACCAACGTTCATCAGCATTCCACGATTGAAACGCTCGTTATCAGCCTATGAAAAAAGGAAGCCATAATAGGATGAAGAAAGGACGACGCTGGAATTAAGCGACAACGTGGCTTCAGAACCAAATTGAATCATTATAGGGTCGAACTCGCTTTTAATACTGTTATAAACTGTCCTTTTATATGACCTCTTAGTTTCCAGATTATTGATATACTGTAAGGCAGTAAAATAAGGGCTACAATTCGCTAATATTTTGTCGGAAATTTTGTCTTTACAAGTGAGAGTCTCTGTTTATTCCGGGGTATTGTCTCAAGGTTTCATTTTCACATGAACAGCAGTAACTAACAATGCATTTGACATATGCAGAAATGCTAGCTATTGTTGTGCACGAAAATATGAATTTTGGAGACAATACCCCTGAATAATGAGAGGCTATCACTTGTAAACACAAAACTCTTGACAAAATATTATCGAATTCAAGCCCTTATTTTACTGCCTTACAGTATATCAGTAATCTTGAAACTAAGAGGTCATATAAAAGGACGGTTAGTCTCAAGATTCTTAAATTTTCTAAAAAATTTATCGAGCGGTTTAAAAATTATTCGCTAATTTGTTAAAGTAGACCGAAATGTTTACATTACTGCTAAAAAGAGCGCCTTGATACATACTAATCAAATCCTTCTTTCTAGCAATCGGCTGGAGGTATCTCCATGATCTTTCACACACGTTTTTAAAAAGATTGAAACTACTATGAGGTGAAATTACATGTCAAAAGCGCTTCGTTTAGTACAGATAACAGTCGAACATCATGATTGTCCATTTTTTACCGTATTTCTAACCATAAAAACTTCTTCCCAAAATATCTCGATAACGCTCTTACAGATTTCGCTTAAACTTCACGAACATCGAGGCGGCTATTGTGGGAAAAAGCTCCAGTAAGCGATTTTGGAAGAACAGTTCCCAGTGCCTAGAAATACTGTTGCAAGTAAAATAGGTAATGGCGTCATTTCGTTGCTATGACAACTCCGATGTCATTGCAACCCTGATCATAACAAATTTTCATCTTTATCTAATGAAAACTATGGTGTCAATTTTTCCAAATCTTTGCTTATGGCGACGTAGCTTACGCTCAAACTTGGGAGGTATTGACCTTGAAAAACTATAACGAGCCACCTTAAGTGCTACAGTACACCGGATAGGTTGAGTTTAAGACGTCAATTCCAGACCAATTTTTGGCCATCAAACGAGTTTATGGAGAGAACGGTTTTAATGAAGGAATGGGTCACTTTTGAGTTTTTGTTATAAAACCGTACAGCAGTAAAAAATTACACAACCAATTCTAGTTGGGGATGTTACCTTTGAAATTTTGGCTTAGTTGAATGTCAAAGTGGAGAAGTTTGTAATGATTCATTGAGCAATCATGGACATGGGTTTGACAGTAAATTGCTTTCCAATGTGAGTCCTCAATAGGCGTTTCGCCAAGGGAAATTGGGAAATTCTCATGTTTAAGGTCTTCATGACCTACCGTAAAATTCCGAAAATAAGCCCCGGGGCTTTTATTTTTCAAAGGTCCAGTGAGTGGCTTATGTTTGGAGCGGCTTATATAAAGAGGGAAATTTGGAAATTTTCAAAATCGTCTAGGCTTATTCTTGGAAAGAAATCTGCGTCTAAAAATCGATTGTGCTAGTTTATAGTTGGAAGGAAATTTATGTCAGTAATTTGCTAAAAGGTTTTACTGAAACTCGCCTTGAGGACGTAGACCTTGCCAAAACGCAGCAATATATGCTTGTAAGTTCTTTGTCTATATGGACCGAGAAAATCTAATCCAAGAGTGAAGAGTGAACCACACAAACAGCAGATACTGTGACACTATTTGACTGCATCATTTGGCGCACGTAATAGTTACTTGGCAAATTCAAAAATTTCTATGTTACTGTACCGTGATTGCTTTGTTTTACTTTGTATTTCAGGGTAATTTCCAAGTACAAGCCCCTGGGGGCTTATATTCGGAGGGGCGATTTAACAGTCAGTGTTTTTTTTGCGTTACGAGTTCTGGGGGGCTTATACATGGAGGGGCTTATTTTCGGAGTTTTATGGTATTTCCGTTTAGTTGGTCCAAAAAACAAAAATTGAGTTTCGTTGTTTAAAATGGTTGTCCCCAGGTTTCTAGTGCATCTTAGGCTGCGTTCTCCTGGCGTCAAACGCAAAGTATAATTTCAAGGGGAGCTCAATTTCAGAAAGAGCTGGTCTATATACACCTAATTGCAAAAACGTTGTCATAGAAAAATGAAAAAAAGGAAAAAGCGAAATAGGAATTAATTAGGCTAATAAGACTAATGAATTTACTTGCAGCATCCGCACATGGACCTGTTGGAATTTGCTATTGTTTTAAAGCTGAAAGACAATAAAACTGAAAATTTCAGCGGGGAACTGCAACGGCTGCAAATGAATCTACCATGAGATTGGGCTTAATTAGCCTATTTAATTCCTATTTGGCTTTTTCCTTCTGTCATTTTTCTAAGACAACGTTATTGTAATTAGGTGTATATGTATATTTCTTTTCAGTTTGTTTCGGTTTTTGCAGTCTAGTCTTATTAGCACATGTATTTCCCAACAGCCTCACCTTAGACTGTTCACAGTCCCCTATTTTTTCGTGAGATCGTTTAGATATACTGCGTCTTACCGTCACGGCTATCTTGATTTTCAAATGTACCAAGGGGGCGGGCGTCGGGGATTACCGCCCCCGCCCCCTAAGTAGTTTTGACACTCACGCAAGATGGCAGCCCGTAACGCAAAGCGCTCCATCTCGATGATCTTACGGAAAAATAGAGGACTGTGAACAGTCTAGTCTCACCTGTTCAATTACAAAAATTCTGTATTCTAACAGCTGCCATTTTAGGAACTGATGCATATGACGTAAGAAGATGTAAAGATGCTCATGTCGGTTCCGGAAAGGAACAACAATAGCGACCTAATAAAATTAAAGAGGAATGAGTTGAGTCTTGGGAAAAACCAAGCTGGAGCTTGTCCTGACATCGGGCAACCCCGAGCATTTGAAATTGTTGATTTTCGTTGGGAAAATAAAAATCACACTTTTCAAAAGATAAAATTTAAAAATTTACCATCTCATCTATATCACGAACTCTTATGTTAGACTTTCAAAAAGTATTAAACCATAGTACTTTATAGTTCCTCAAGGCACAGAAACTGAAGAAAAAAAATAATAATGCAATGGTTTTTCTCGAGTAGAGGAGGTTGTGTTCAGCCTGTAAGAAACGACAGATTTTGTTGTAACTTAAGATACAGTCCAATGTGAAAGCAACGTCGATCTTCCTATGAAGCAATTCAGACCTTGTGGGTTTTGTCATAATAACCTGTGCAACATTACTCTTGCTCCGTAAAGGCAGGCCCGAAAAAATATATATGAGCTAATTCCCTGGAAGCAACAATAAGAAACAACTTTGTCATGAAAGATATTAAAGAAGCTGTGTCACGAAATTCAGCCCAATTAGGAAATTACAAAATGCCCGTTAAATTAAGAGAAACATAAATTAAAATAACCGCTTAAAACTTTAAAGGAAGGTTAAAATAACATAATAGAAACAACAGATACCACGGATGGGCAAAACTGAAGAAGATTGAAACGGATTAGAATTAGGGTTTTTGAAAACTGCTCAGCCTAACAGTTTTTCAAAGTTGATCCTTGCGGCTTGCAACTTCAAAAATAATGCTCAGGAGACATATTTGTTCGTCTCGGATCTCTGATTCTGTCATTTACATGTAATTTCTTTGCATACTTTAAGTTCCATAGCGATTGAGGGCGAACGTAGGGCGAATAATTGGCAAAATTAAACAAAATGAACTTAGGCTGCCGTGACACAGGCCTTTTAATCATCGTAATGTCAGGGGCACCCTACGACAATTTTCGGAAAATATCTGTTCGGAAGACGATTTGAGATCTAGAATTTTCGGAGCATTTGTTGTAAAATTTCTTGCTTGCCTGCCGCTCTAGGATTTTCGAACAACTAAAAAATGGTCTAATTGCCTATTTTTAACGGATTTTTACTCTTAAAAGGTCACCTAGAATTTTGGGGAGCCTTTTTTCTGGCTGGAATTTTCTTAAAGGTAAGTTTTGATCCCTATAATTTTCGGATTACTAGACTTTCAGCTAGGAAATCCGAACAGATGAAAAATTTTTAGGGGATAAAAATATGCCTATATCTACCATTTAAATACTAAAATACGTTTAACAATGCTATGTATCAGTAGTTTTGAACTATATTCTCGTTGGGTGCCCCTTATCAAAATGAGATGTATGAAGCAACATTTATCTCAATAGCTAGGTAGCATTAAAAGCAGGAGGGTTGGTAAACTAGACATGGTTGTTCAAGATACAGATTTTTATTGTACAATGCATTTGGTATCAAATGGATGCCCAATCTCTGTTACACACGTTGTGGCTTTTTGGCATCTTAAATTTCGAATTATAGAATTCCTTAATTTTTCCGAATAGAAGTCCAAGGTTTTCAGGTTTGATGGTGCTGTTTGGGGAAATCGCTTAGTAAAAAGCGTTGATCATAATTTACCTAAACCTTGAGGAATGAACTTAGCGTTTCCCTTGCTATTCAGAGGCAATTTTTTGGCATGCATCAGTGAGCGTAACTTTAACTTTCCCGCGAGAGTTGGCACGGACATTTGTGATAATTTCCGTGATACATAGGATGTGTAGCACGAAACAGAAGCCGCAACAGCGTTAAGTATAGGTTTAGTTTTATCGTTTGTCTCACGATTGTCACTTTGATTGATGATCGCGGCGTTTCGACCGCACACTGCAGGTCTTCGTCAGGCGATAGTATCGATTTACTGAGTCGAAATATTTGNGTAGTTTTGAACTATATTCTCGTTGGGTGCCCCTTATCAAAATAAGATGTATGAAGCAACATTTATCTCAATAGCTAGGTAGCATTAAAAGCAGGAGGGTTGGTAAACTAGACATGGTTGTTCAAGATACAGATTTTTATTGTACAATGCATTTGGTATCAAATGGATGCCCAATCTCTGTTACACACGTTGTGGCTTTTTGGCATCTTAAATTTCGAATTATAGAATTCCTTAATTTTTCCGAATAGAAGTCCAAGGTTTTCAGGTTTGATGGTGCTGTTTGGGGAAATCGCTTAGTAAAAAGCGTTGATCATAATTTACCTAAACCTTGAGGAATGAACTTAGCGTTTCCCTTGCTATTCAGAGGCAATTTTTTGGCATGCATCAGTGAGCGTAACTTTAACTTTCCCGCGAGAGTTGGCACGGACATTTGTGATAATTTCCGTGATACATAGGATGTGTAGCACGAAACAGAAGCCGCAACAGCGTTAAGTATAGGTTTAGTTTTATCGTTTGTCTCACGATTGTCACTTTGATTGATGATCGCGGCGTTTCGACCGCACACTGCAGGTCTTCGTCAGGCGATAGTATCGATTTACTGAGTCGAAATATTTGAAACGCCGTGGTTGCTAGTGATTGGTGTATCACAAACCTCGTTCATGGTTGGTGGGTTTCGATCCAAAGCATTGTTGGCATTGTGAGAGGAAGAAACTGATCTGCTCAGCGGTCGGCTGCGGTGGAGATCGGTTGTCAGGTTGAGTCTGATTGTAGGCATCCACGCTTCAGGAATCTCAATTCCACTGTCCCAGTTGATGTTGTTAGGGTGAAGTCTTATGTAAATAGCCTCCTTAGTTCTACGACAGAACCAGTGAGGGTCTCGGTGAATAAACTTAACCCAGAGCGGATATTGCCAGGTCTCAGGTCTCAGGTCGGAGGTCTTATTGGCGTGTTCAGAAACGGCCGAAGTTTGAGCTTGTGAAAGCCGCATATCCCAAGCGTGCTCCTTAATCCGTTCATGCATGCACCTTCCTGTTTCGCCAATGTATACTTTGCCGCATTATACACTACTCCATCTTGTTTTCGTAGATCCACAGGATCCTTAGGTCGCACTAAGTGCGATCTTAGTGTTGTATCGGATTTGAAAACAGATCGTACGCCATGCTGTTGTAGACAACGACGAAGTGGTTCAGATAAACCTTTTATGTATGGTAGGACCGCTGTAGGTCTCATTTCGGTTGCGGGTTCTTTGTCAGATGTCTGCCAACATCAACAGGGACAGTGGAATTGAGATTCCTGAGGCGTGGATGCCTACAATCAGCCCCAACATGACAACCGATTTCCACCGCAGCGGACCTCTGAGGGATCAGTTTCTTCCTCTCACAGTGCTAACAATGCTTTGGATCGAAACCCACCAACCATGAGCGAGGTTTGTGATGCACCAATCACTAACAAACCACAGTGGTACAAATAGTTCGACTCAGTAAATCGACACTATCGCCTGATGAAGACCTGCAGTGTGCGGTCGAAAACATGGCGATCAATATAAAAGTTACACTGTGAGACAAACGATGAAATTAAATCATTTATAAAAACAACGTTGTTGGAATAAATTTGGCCATGATTGTAGCTAGTTGTAATTGAATAATAAGCAAACGCAAAACAGTACATTGCAATGAACATTTTCGTGCTTGATGTCTTGTTCATAAATGGGGTGACAAAATACCCCCCCCCCCTCCAAGGCACACTTTGTGCCTGGAGCCCCAACGAAAAAACAAAGCTCGCACTTCTGTGGATGCCGAACATTTAAAGGGCTAGTGTGAAAGGAAAGGAACCGGCGAGATGTAGCCCATAGTGTGACCATCCCAATTTCTTCACTAACTACCTTCGATTGCTAAACCACACAGGCCGTCATCTAAGATGCAGCCCTTTGAATGACCCAACAACTAAAGACAAACATGAACTGACCTTTCTCCTAGAAGAAATCCATTTATACATTAATTGGATAAAGAAAGGATACACTACGATCAATACTAGCACCTGTTTCCGTGACTGGCAGTTTGGTTTCCACTGCCCACCGTTTACCACAAACTTGAGTTCTTTAGCCACTTCTTCCACCGTTACTGAAGTATTTCGAACAGCTAACAAACCAACTAGAAGAATTATTGTAATTAAGTAAATATTATTAATAAAATTTGCTAAGTTCGTTATTGAACTCTTGCGTGTATTTGCGATTGGTCATCATAATCTAAATTAGTAAAATCCCACTAGTAGTCTATTATCAATGCTGCGTTCTGATTGGTTGAGTTACTACTAGGCTATATGTTATAGTCCACTAATGGCGAGAAGCACCGGCTTTTTGGCGGCAAAAAAGGACTAAATTCTAGTTTTAACTAGCTAAAGTTGTTTTGTCTCGATATTTTTGACAAACTAGTTGGATTTTACTAAAACAATTATTCCTCTCGCCCTCATAGCCTCTGAGTCAATAGACAAAGCCTTATTGGCTATTAACGAAGAGCCCATTCGGGCTCAAGGGATAATTGTTAAATAGCTCAGATCATTTCAGGGGAGGATAGAGGGTCCTCTCATGGAAAGTAAATAAAGAATAGATTTGAACTGACCACCACTTTAAAAAAATAATAACGCCTAAATGCTGGTTAATTTCACTCGCGTGTCAATTGACAAACTTTGGAAATTGGAATAGATTAGATTGAATAGATTGATATCGTTACTCTGCAGAATATTAATGAGCGCGTGCTGTCCAAGCAGGTGACAAGTTAGTCCATGTTATTCAATCCTTAATTGGTAAATAGTCACCTTCGATTCAAAACCGTCATTAAACTGTCTAAACATAGATCCGAGTTTAGTGCAAACATGAGCAACATAAAACAGTTCAATCACCGGCATTTTTAAGAAACGATGTGGATGACTTGGGATGACCCTCGCACTGGTGAAACTCACGTTCGCTCGGTATTTGTTAGGGTATTGGAAGTACACGGATTCATACTAGTACGTAAAGAGCATTTGAAGGCCTAGGGGGAGCACAAAAAACATATTAAATTACAGAAAACTAAACAACAAAAACCGTGATAATAATAATAATAATAATAATAATAATAAGAAGAAGAAGAATGTTCAAGCTGAGCGGTTAGATATCTGTAGGAATTTTGGATACAGATACTTAATCTTGTACATCATCGAAATTTTATTGACAAACCTTAGACGTTCTCATTATTTAATGGACAGCTGTATGAACGATGATTTTTAACTTATGAACATTTTTATTTTATAACTAAGACTTTCATAAAGCTTGTAGGATTTTTTTTGTTTTATTTTTGTTATGACACTTTTATCAAATCATTTTTACCTTTTTTTTTTTGGCGCAATTATTGTGTAATTGTTACTACAAATTTTATTCGATGCTGCGGCTGGTTACGGTTTGCCACCCAGCCAAAGCTAATTCAGTGTTGTGCGTATCACCGCTGATAGGCCGTATACAAACGAAATTTAAACCAGAGTTTGGATGGTGTTTAGTAATAACAGACTGAATAATTAACAGTCATTACAATCGAGGACCTTTTTAAAGAGCTAAACATCCGCAGGACTGCCCCCTGCTAAGGACGGCAATTTGTCTCGTGGATGTAGACCCTTATAATGAAATAAATACGAGCAACAAGCTTACCTTTGCTTAAATGACTTTTGGGACAAGGCTTATCTGCTGAAAAGTTGAAACGTTTACCCATTTTCCTGATTAAATTCGGCAAAGAAGCACCGTTCGGATTGACTTGTGGTGGAGGCGCAGTCGTCGGTTTCTTGCTGGAAGAAATGTCGGCTTCGTTGACTTTGACTCCCAAATCTTGGAGAAACGAGAGAATTTCGCTTTTAGCACTATCCAGTCTTTCAGGGATGCGTTCAACCAAGTTTCTCAGTGACGATTTATTCCAGGAAGAAAGCTCCACGCCTGAAGACAACTGTTTATCGGACAGAGTTGAATCAAAAGCAGAGTCCTTTTGTAAAAGAATATTGTCCCTTTTTTCGGTTTCGAAATAAATTTTTACCACGAAAAGCTTTCGAACTATGAAGCCATATATAAGAAGGTATAAAACGAGCACAAATAGCAAAATTCCGTAAACAGCTTTAAACGCCGGCATGATAAAATAAAAGCGAGAAAATTATTTCATATCTTCTTTCATAAATCAAAATGCATAAAATTGTATACTGGAACACCTAGCAACATTTCATCGTTGCAAAGAATGCCAACTGACGTCTAATGGAATAGTGTTTGTTCACTTGAAATATCATATCAAGAATGTCGTTGATTAATCACTACCTTTAAACATTGCTAAATCAAACTGATTCTGATCATTATTTTTTTCTCTTCTTTCTATCTATTTTTTTCTCCTCTCTTTTTTCCCACAATAGATTAAACAGTTAATTTCATCACTGCCAATAGTTTTCGCACGCGTTTGTAAAGTGAATTCATACACTAACTTTTTTTTTACTTCATTTTCGTTCTTTCTAGTTTTATTTTATTTTATTTTTTTTTCATTTTCTATTCATTTTTGTTTTCCCAGCTGAATTATTATGTTTTAACTGATATATCACCAATGGGCACCAATTCAAAAAATAACAAGTGTATAAGGTATACCTGTCTTGTAAAAGCCTGTATTGCTAAAAGTTAGAGTACTTTAAATAAAAAAAAAAAGGAAACAGTGTTCTGCCAATAATTTTTTTTTACCATTTTCGCAATATTTAGTTAACAGTACTAATCGATCTGTTGTTTCTGGAGCAAAAGCGAGATAGCACAGCGATTATTCTTGACATTATAAAATCCAGAGAAATAGGACTGTATATAACCCATAATATCAGCACAGTCTCATTTCTTCTAACCTACTTTACACACAAGTTTCATCGAAGTTCTTATTATTAAGTAAACTTGATATTACATTTTCTTTATTTCCTTATTAGGTAAAAGGACGCCTCAATCACCCTTTACCAACGCTGAAATGTGAAAGTGGTCGATAATCTGATCAATTCTATCCTTTTACATCGAGGGGCTACGAGTAAGAACATAAGGGCGATTATTTCGTTACGCAACTACGACGACGACGACAACAAGAACGGCAAAAAATCAATAGCTTTTAGACAACCAAAATAACAACTTTGCACGTGCATCACGCTTTTTCGTACATTTCCTTGTCGTCAGCTACAACGTGAAACTCCCGAGGACGGGAACGAAAGACAACGATAGGTTTAATGAGGAAAAAAACAACTCTGCACGTGGGTCACGCTTTTTTGTACATTTCTTTGCCTTTACTTCTCAACTACGACGTGAAATGACCAAATTTTAAGTTTACTTGCGAACGGGAAAGGCAGGGCGATAAATTCTACCATCTCTGTCCGAACTTGAGCGCGTTCCCCTCTCTTCAGCTCCAGCCAAAATCTTCTTCTTTTAAGTAACAGGGCGAATTGGGATAATGGCGAAAAAGTCTAAAATGATCCGATGTCTACTTTTCAGCGACCTTTTCACGGACGTCGCCGTTGTCGGATCGTAAGGTCCCTTTTAGCTCCTTATTATAACACGTGCTCGAGAAAATCGAGAAAGCCCTTGGCCCAATCCACACGTATTCGCTTTCAAAATATTCTTTGTCCGTCTATACCGATCCGTTTCTGCTTGTTAGAGGAGGTTATTATTCGCATTGGCCTTCAAACATTCTTAAGTTATAACCGTTAACTCTTCGAAAATAAAACAAGCCCTAACTCTTACACTGTTTATGACGTTAAGATATGCAAATACAGTGAAACCTGTATTAGGCTGACACCCTCGGGGAATGCTGTAGTGTCCACTTAATACAGGGTGTCCGTCTAATACAGGTTTCGATAGATATCGTCATATGAGGTGTCAAATGCCATTCAAATGAACAGTGGAAACGTTTACAATACTCCCAGAGACAATGACGATATACGTTTGCATTAATTTCTTTATCAAAGTGAACCAACTGATCATAGTACCTGAGACTGCAACTCAAATTTGAAGAAATCAGATGAGTGAAACAAGCTCTGTACAAACAAAACGAAATAAGATTTTTACCCTAAAAAGGTCGCCTAGAGTTTTCGGGAGCCTTTTTTCTGGCTGAAATTTTCGAAAAGGTAAGTTTTCATCCCTATAATATTCGCATCGCTAGACTTTCAGGTAAGAAATCCGAACAGATGAAAATTTTTAGGGGATTAAAATATGCCTATATCTACCGTTCAAAAAAATACGTTCAACAATTCTATGTTTAAGTGGTTTTGAACTATATTCTTGTTGGGTGCCCCTCACGAGTACCCAAACCTTTTTCAAGTATCTCTGTTTAAACTGTGATTCGAAAAGAATAACGTTTAATCAGGGTCTTAAAATATAGTTTTTACATGTAAAATAAACCAGAGTGTTTAAACACTACTTTAATAGGAACTCCACGACCACGACTTTAAGACTTAAAATATGCTTAACGCACGTTTAACAGGCCAGTTGAATTTTAAAGGTGATTTAAAATAAACGACTCTATGAAATCAGTCTTTCAAGCCAGATTTAAATATGCTATTTTCACTTTATTTTAAAGGAAAAATACTGACTATCCCGATTTAAAAAGTATTTGAAATGGAAACCTGTTTCTAAACATAGTTTAAACAGCCTGTTTTTAGGGTAACCGGCCGACGCGATGGTAAAAAAGGGATTAAAGAACCGTCAAAATTTCAAACAAAAGGTATCACTACTTTTCTGAAAAAAAAAAAAAAATCATCGGGAATTCATATTTCGCTGACTCTTATAATTCATAAACTGAACACGGTTCTTGCTTGAGGCCAATAAGGCAAGAAATAACAAAGAACGATAATCGAGCCTCCACCGCCTTAAAAATAACGTTCTATTTCTAACGCTAAAAACCTGTTGGTCATACGGCAATAACCATAAACCTTTATCAATCAAAGCTTAAAAGAAACTTTGGTACAAATTTTTTGTCTACTTTGATCAATGCAGTTTTATTGCAGAAGTAAGCGAGATCAAAATTTGACGGTTTTTGGTTAAAGCAGGGCAAAATGGCGTCTTTTAACTAGACCACATTTCGTTGACAACGACTTTAATTCTTCATATGGAAGCTTCATGGAAGAATTGTGAACTTGCTGTCATGCACATTGATCGCTTGCACCGCACCGTGCAGAAAATCTGGTTTTTATACGCTTTTCAAGCCGGAACTGTAACACTGAGTGAATCTGGCGTAAGACTATTTTTTCTAAAAGGTGGTCACCAACATCGTGTGCGTGGCCTTTTGCATTTTTCAGTCTTTTTCTTAGAAATACAGTTTTTGGTCCATTTATAATTTTACCGTAATCCACTACATCCATCGATCAGCAAACAGTTCTTCAAAAAGCTTCTTTAAAATATCACCATCCCTCTATCGATATGCTCATGGAACTTTCGGTCAAACATTTTGAAGCACAACCATAAGCCTGGCGCAAGCAGTGAGCGTGATTATTAGCTGGGTTTAAACCGCAGTTGTGGTACTGTAAGTTGCACTTCCGACAACAATCGAAAAAGCAGAACGCTAAATAAGTGTTTTCCTCGATATCAAGTTGTCCAGTTTTCTTACAGAAAATAGGGTTGTTTTCAATCCACACAAGCTTCT